AATTTATATATAAAGAAACTAGCACAGAGCCTGGCGTGTAGCAACACAACACATTAGATCCTTCCGTCTGTTTTCTCTGGCTACTCAAAATTTTCAAGCAAGGAATGTAGGGGCGTTAACTAAATCTTTTAGTTCAAGGAACAAAATTTCTTTAAAAATTTTTAAATGTCAAGGCCTGCTAGAGTAAGACATTACCACAGCATATTGTCATTAGGTGCTGGAAATATTCCTGTTATAAGCAACTGATTAGGATTTATTTGAACAGTTGTTCTCATAAAATTTACATGCTTATCAAAATTCCCTTCATCCCTGACCAAAGGTAATGGTCCATATAGTTGCCCTAGCTTGGAAAATAATTTATTACTAATCTAATAAATGAATTAGATTACACAGTTACACACAGAATGCACCATTCCAGTGACATAGCAAGAGTTCTCCTCCAACTGGACTAATAATAGGATTTTTACATCTAAAATATATCAGAGCTTTCAAAGATTAAAATATATAAATCTTCACCGCAGCCTCCTTGTCTGTACATAGGAACCAAGTTGTGAGAGCATTTATCACGATGGACACAGCAGGCCGCACAGGGGCTGGGCAGGAATCAGAAATGCTCACTCCACATGATGTCTTCTGTTAACCTGAAGCCTTTGGTTTATTTTGTTTAGCAAACCATTCATCACTTTTATCTGCCGCCATTGCCTATAGAAACAGAAATGGAATATACATTTATTCTAAGTCCATAAAACAAAACATACAGTCCACTTCGTACCTCACTGCACTGTCCACAATCAAGAAATTAACAATGAAAAAGTGTTTCCTCAGTAGAGAGTACTATGTTTAATTTGACAGAGGATGCTGATGAGCAGTGAGAAACTGCCTGTGTATCCTCACTTTGCAGAGTAAAGGGCAGAGACTGCAGCCACGAAGTGTGGCTGGCTGGCTGACTAGAGAGCAAGGACCGAGTACCCCAGCCTGTGGGGTCTTTGGTACAACAGAAAGTGCTGTCACTCTTAGCGTCTGTCTGGGTAGGCTCTCAAGAATCTTTAGTGCTCATGAGACTTAGTCTAATAAAGAGACCAAATACAAAATACTATTTTGACATTTTAGCTACTGAGCCTGGAACGATTTCCTTTTTCTATGCCTCCTCCCACA